TAATTTTGCATTAAAAAACCTAACATCTTTTTTCAATAAATAAGTATAAACATATACCATTGTTAGAATTAGAAGACACTAATGTTTTTACACAACCTTTGTAAATTTGTATAAAGTTTGTATATTATATAGAAGTAAAATTTATTTTATTTAATTTTCAAAAAAAAAAAAATAAAAAAAAAAAAAAAAAATGGGGACAATTTTAAAAAAACTGTACTGATTAAATTACATCACATAGAATGAATAGATAATATATTTTTGGAATAGCTTAGAAAACGTTATAGCTAAAAAACAAGAAACTGTCCTCAAAATAAAATGGCTAACAATATCACCAAATGATCCAAAAATTATTTTAATTTTATGTATACATTCTGCATATCAATTATAGCCTTAGCCATAGAACATACTTTTTCGTATTCATCACATTCCTTAAAAAAAAAAAAAGGAATTCCCATCATAAAGTACTCAGATCTTCACTTAACACATTGCCTATGCAGTTTGCAGTGTATACGAACAGAAGCAGTTATCGCACGACGAGCTATTGAGGTGTGGCACAGTCACAGCCAGACAGCAGCTGGAGGCGTGTGTCGCACATAAAGAATATGTCTATAAAGTGTACGTTAATTGTATGCCAAAAATTCATAACGAAAAGGAAACAAAAGTAAGTTGCGAATTGTCGCCTGAAAGCACTTAATAACCAGAAGAAGATTTCGCAAATATAAAAAAAAAAAAAAAGAAAAAAAGATTAGAGAGAATATTACAAACGGGTGGTCAAGATCAACTAATGCTCTGTTCGCTGCGAGTTTTATTTGATTGTCAAATAGAAGACTTTACTTTCCACTTAATTTCAGATAATATTGGTCTATGTAGATAAGATTTAGCCTTATCACAGGGGAATTGCATGTGTTATCAAATTACAATGTACATAAGCCAAGACAACATTTAGATGCCACGATTCGTTTCAAGTATCACATTTGTAGCACACAGCATTGGACATTAGGCGTATAGCTTCAATCATATCAAATTTTTACTCACCTGCCCAACTTCGAACTTTAGGCAAATAATCATTCCAGAAGGAGCAACGCGCTGCTAGCGGGCCACGAGCCAATTTCTCAATTTTGTCGTCTGTGCTGAAGATATAATACACGGGATCCTCCTTTGAAAAGTTCGGCCATTCCTCGCCATCCGGTGCCGGATTGCTGCGTGTGTGGGAGAAGCAATGAAAGCTCGCATTATAGCAAACGGGTTTGTGTACTCGCTAAGCCAACTCGTTTCATTGAGTTTGGCTATGACAAGCTGTGCTAAATGAAAGCTCGGCGAAAGCTTACCCCGTCTTGGCGAACTCAATGACCGAATTTAGCATACGCTTGCCCAGCTCCCGCTCCACAGGTCGATATTGCAGAGATGTGTTCAGCGGCTGACCAAAGAAGTACTCAATCTCATCGCCGTGCAGCACGCCCATCCACTCGCCCCACAGCGAGGTGCTGGTGCGCTATGGTATAAAAAAAAAAAGAAGATGGACACCGTGAGTAAAAGTGAGAGAGAGTGAGTGAAAGAGAGAGAGAGAGAGAGAGAGAGTGGGGATAATATTGTCGTAAACTTAGCCAGAAATTATGCAGATAAACATCTACCCTTTTTATTTATTTATTTGATTTCGCTCGCTCGCGCGCGCTCTGCAAATTGTAAATATTGTCGCAGCATCTCGTGGAGCCCAAAAATAAACATAAAACAACAGAAAAATAAGACCAGAATGCTGCATTTGGGTATGCTCAACTGGCAGTTGCTCTGTTAGCGTCTGAAGAGTTTAGGTGGAAATATTTGTAAGTTATTTAAATAAAATATGAGGTAGTCTAAATATAGTATTTTTATAGAGAGAAAATGACTTCAAATTGTTCCAAGTATTTTTGTCTTTTGTCTTTACTAATTATTTCAGAATAATTATTTTAACTGAATTGGTATTTCTGTGCCTATACTTCCCATGTAAATTAAACTAATTATAGTTTATAAATCTTTGTCATTTCATATCAATATGAATATATACATGTATATTCCACTACATTTTATAGCTCATCCAACCTAAGCCCAAGCACATTATACCCCTTGTCAAGCCCATTTCACTGGGTATACAGCACAGCGCAGCAAATGAATAAATAACAAATGTTTGGTTGCTGGAAACACTTGCTGCCAAATTGTATGTGCCAGCTGCTTACAACGGCTTAAAGAGAACAGAATAAAACATGGGTAAAGGAAAGAGTATTTTACAAACGATGCGACTGCGTGCTCGTGGCTATAAAGACAGTTAATTGCGCATATATTGCCTGCATTGATAACTCAAATGGTTGGATATATGCCCCAGTCAATTTCCTAATTATTCTAATACCTTAATCAACCGCAACAGCCAACTGCAACATCAGCAGCAGCAACAACAACAACAACAACGGCAACAACAAAGACAAGCCACAAAACCACAGCAATTTGGCCGAAGTCTATGGCAACTGATAGACAGCTCAAGTGCACAGTGGTGCAAACTGTGCAAAGAGTGAACGAATTTTAATTAACTGGCGAGCAAAGCTACCCTGAATATAATTTATAGGTATATATACCCTATATATGTGGGTATATTCAATCAAATTATAAATTAGCAAGAAGATTTTCTTAAATATAGATAA